GATTCCTTTCTCATTTCCAGACAAAAAGTGACTTTAAATACTATTTTGAGAATTACTTCTGCTGATGTTTGTCTTCTGTCTTGCAGGATGGTGGTTTGACGCATGTGGTCCTTCTAACCTCAATGGAATGTATTATCCATTACGACAGAACAACAACAAGTTTAATGGGATCAAGTGGTACTACTGGAAGGGCTCGGGATACTCTCTCAAAGCTACGACGATGATGATTCGACCAGCAGATTTCTAAATGCTTTGTCATTGTGTGAATTACGTTTTGTATAGTCTTCAAAGACTTATTTTACCAAGCAACTTGTCTCATTTTTTCAAGCCCAGAAACATGCACTAGTGTTCTGAAGGGGTCAGTACAGTACAGTTCCTGAATTGCAATTGTCTTGATCAGCTAAAGTTCATATTATTCAACCAGACAAATGTCTAAAGCATCGACCTGATATAACAGTGATTTGGCCAAATGACTCAATAAAAAGAACATCCAAGAAACCGTCAGACAACTTCAAGGACTCTGTTTTACTGATCATTTATGTTATGTATGTGTTAGTAAATAACTGGAACTGTGAAAAAAACCCTAAAATAGTTTTAGGAATATGCATTTTGCCTCACCACTGAACTTTAAACATTAATATAAAACACTTAGCTAGTTCTAGCTTAGTTCTAGCTAGATCTAGAACTATTTATCGTTCTGTGTCATGTGTGCCCTATATGTACATAAAAAAAAATCTTTTCTGTAATTAGCTCAATACTATAGTTAGGGAATACATTCTTTTCCCCCATAGTCTCCTAAACAACTTTTTACTCTTATTTAAGGATTTTTTCCAGTAGCCTGTATGACTATGTTTAACAGAGGACAAATAGCATTTAAGTAGGGTGCATTTATTCTTGGGAAATACCATTTACAAAAGTCATAATTTTTTCAGTCTGTTTCAGTCACTGTCTTTAAATTATAGAAAAGCCCTATGAATTACAATACAGCATGTATTCCTATACATTTTTATGAAGATTGCACTTTTTTCCTTCCCTTGTCATTTACCTGTAAAATAACTGTCCAGTATTTTGTAAACCGAGACAACGGCATTAACACCAGATGTCCGGTTGTCTGTGACAATCATGTATCACCTGGTGATGTAATATAACTATATGTTTTGTAAAAATAACCTGAATGAAAAACATATGCATGTTCTTTGATACAATTAAAATTATGCTTATGACTTAAGATACAAATTACTACATTTTAAGAACAGGAAGAAAAATAATCTGAAAATTATCTAAGGTCACACTATGGGTTTTTTTCAGTAAGGTTAGGATTTCTCCTTAAAAATTCTCTGTAGGTAGGCCCTCAATGTACACTGCAATGTGAATAAATTACTCTACTGGGTGATCTTTCCTTTTTTTTCTTTTTTCTCCCCTTCATTTTATTACTATATGCTTTAAAATTGCAAATCAGATTGAGAAGATATTTCTTCATACATCACAATAATTTAGTGGAGGTTTTTCTCCAAATTAAGTTTAGTTTTTAATTCTCATGCTTATTCTTTGCCTAATATTTTTGTAAAACTTTGATTTCAGCAGAAGACTGAATTAGTTACAATGCAAGAACTTGACCCAAAACAAAACAAAAATCCCAGACATATTTCTGGAAGCTAGCTTAACAAAAGCTGTTGTAAGGGCAACAAGGCTTGTGAAAGGTCTAGAAAAAATATTGTACAAGGAGGGGTGAGGGATCTGGGGTTGTTTAGATGGAGGAGGCTAAGGGGGAACCTCATCACTCCCTACAATCACCTGAAAGGAGGTTGTAGTGAGGTGGGGTCTGATCTCTCTTGTACTCTGGGGGCAGTGGCAGGCCCAGAAGAAACGGCCTTAAGATGAGTCAGGGCAGATTCAGATTAGATATTAGAAAAAAAAGTCAGTGTTACAGTGGTCAGGCACTGGAACAGGTTGCCCAGAGAAGTTGTGGAGTCACTATCCCTAGAGGTGTTCAAGAGGCATCTGGATCTGGTGGATGATGCTGTTTACAGGTTACAGTGGAAGTGCTGGGTGGACAATTGGACTGGATGATCCTGTAGGTCTCTGCCAACCTGATGATTCTATGTTTCTATCTTGAAAATAGTAAGTGGTTTTGAGAAAGATTGAAGAAATCTCTCCATTTTAGACTGACAATCATTAAAGCTGCTATCAGAGTACCCCACCACTCACACTACCACCATTCTTCTTAAGTGAAAATGTGTCATCATTGCTAAGTGTAGCAGAGACAAAAAACCATTTCTAATATTACTTCATGATCTGATTTTATATAAACCTAAAGAATGTAAATTAATAGTCATTGTCTGAAGAGTTTCATAAAATAATCTCTATGTATTTGAAATTACTGTTTAGTATTTTATTATTTTTCATAACAAAAACTTGTAAGGATATACACATCCCAAACTAAAAAAAAAAAACTTCCCAAAATTGCTTTCACAAATTTTCGAGAAATGTCTTAGACAGAAGTCTGGAAGAGTGATTACACTAGTAGAGGGGCCACACACACCAACAAGCACATAGCATACCAAGAGAAGCCTCAAGAGCTGTTGTTTTTCAGCCTGGAGCAGAGAAAGGGAAGGGGAGACCTTAATGGTGCCTGATTGAGGGTATAGGGAGGACAAAGCCAGACCCTCCTTGGAGGTTTTCTGCTATGAGACAAGAGACAGGGACAACTGGCAGTAAATACAATTTGTAATTGGGGAAAGTGAATTTTCTTTTTCATTTATTCATTTATTAGCAGAAGGGTGGATTGGACAAGTCCCTTGGAGCACAGTGTTGAATTAGACAACCTTCAGAAGTCCCTGCTAATCTAAAATACTTTATGATTCTATGAAATTTAATAGAAATGCTGAGTCTACTTACTGCATTTCCTGTGTTGGTACATTTAATCAGACAACTACAGAAAATACTCCCAATATTTAAGACAGTAAGCATACCCACACCAATAATACAAGGAAAGAGGAAAAAAGGCAACAAAACAAACAAACAAAAATCCTCCAAAATGGTCTTAAAAACCATGATGGAATCTGAATGCTCAGTCTAGCAAAGAAAAGCAGTGCTAACTTCTGGTTGACAATAACTTTCTCTATTTTAGTAAGGAAAACCCTGTATGACTAAAATAATTTAATATTGCATGGCTATTTTTGATTTGTTGAAAAAAGGTTTATAGAATTTGAGGCTGATGACTGTTCTAAAATGTTAGGGGGAATATGTCTTTAAATGACATTTCATCTAAAGAAGACTGCATGGCTTGAACACCGAAGACCAAAGAGAAGCAACTTGAGGACATGTCAGAAGGAAGGCAATAATAGGAAGCAGAAGGCTGCAAAAACTACTTTTGACTTGGTACAAACAAGTAAAATTATAACAGCAAGGTAACCCCTACTTTTAATTCCTTCCTGTAATCAAATAAACAGTATGTGAAACTAGAATGAATTTCCATTTTCTCTAAGCACTTTGTAGGAAGCAGGAAAGAAACAAGAAGAAAAAAAGACAAACAAAACCACATGAATAAATTTATGCTCAAATAATAATCGCAGCTGGAAAAAAAATTAAGGTATCTGTTACAGTAAGAAATTAGAGTGACTAAACAAGGAATGGTAGTGGAAATATTGCCTTGGACTTCAACTTTGATCCTTTGCAAGAACAGCACATTGCAAAAAGAAGTGATTCAGGTTCTTAGCACAACCCTAACCTCCCTTAATTTTACATTCTCACCATCTCTCAAATTCTCCTTACTTCGGCTTCAGGAATAAAATCTCTTAAGGGAATCTCAAAAAAAACCTCAGGAGGAATCATCTCTGAAGAATGCTATGTACATTGTTACTGATAGCAAACTTTGTTGTTAATCAAGGTAGTCTGAAAAGAAACAGAAAACTCAAAGCAACCTAATATGAAATTCAGTGCAGATTTTTTCATTGAAATACAGAAAATGGGAAAAAAGAGAACATGCTTCTTATTTTTTTTTCACATTAAGGTTTACCATTCTTACTGTATTTGCTATATAAAACAATCTACTCTCCCATTTTATAAAAAATATGAACTTATAATGGATAATTAATTTCTTCAAGGGTTATTTGAGATGAACTGCTACATTTTCCCTAAACTTTGAGAACATACATCATACAATCATGAAATAAATAATACATATAATAAATAATATATATTAATGTTGGATATATAAATTTACATAAGTTATAGCTTTAGAAAGAATGCTAAATAGAAGTTCTTAACAGTTAATAAAATTACAGTAAAAATAATTTTCATACCCCATTAACTGCACTTTCTTCAAAGCTGGTATGAAACTTTGAGAAACAAATTGCAGACACTAATTTAGTGGAGGGAAAATTATTGGAATGATTGACTAGTAACCAGCTAGACTTCTACTTGTTTTAAAACCAAAATAAAATTCCTGTTTCATCAATTACAACACATGAAGTGCACTGAGGTCTACACAGATACATCATGCCCTCACATACCCACTTGTGCACTAGTTCCCAATTCAGTACTTGAGAATGATTATTAGAGGCAGGAAAAAATGCTTCATTTTTTCCCACTTAGCAGTTCTAGAAGACCAGAGTAATTTTCCATTGCCCAAGTAATTTCTGGGCCAAAAAACCTGAGTCCCTGACCTGCAAATCTTTCCATTTGGCAATAACATGCCTCTCCAGTTTGCACACAGGTACAAATAGAAATAAAATTAAAGTACATTTATATTTCAGTAAGATGCTGGTTTATTCATGTGTTAATTGGTGAATCAACATTTTGCATTTTCCACAGGTACCAAAGTTTTTGCACACACTTCAAAAAGTATTGGATGAAGAAGAAAATAACTCCTTACAGTATCTGCTTTAAAAAAATATTTTTCTAGTAGGCTTCCTTATTCACTAAACCTATTTAGAGGGCAAATCATTTTCCAGATAAACAAAAGAAGGTTCACAAGCTTAAAAGACCATTAAACTTACAGGAGCTGCAGGGAAGCTGGATGAAAGCTCATATGGTTCCTCTGAGATCCAATGGCCTAATTCCAAAGACCACAGAACCTAAAATAAAATAAGTGGTAAGTAGAATCTTAAAATTTCTAAAATCACCTTTTTGAATGTGTAATTAGAGGTGACAGTGCTGTTACAATACCTGGTTTTCAATTTCATTTACCCAAACCAAATCATTGGGTGAAAAATCAATAAATAAGAAAGAAACAATTTTTACAACTAAAACAAACCATTGAAATATCAGTCATACTTCTATGCACAGCTACATTACATTTTAAAACATTGTGAGGATATTCAAAAAGTCAACTATTTTTTAATCACAATACATGGAGCAAAAAAATTGAAAAGGGAAGTCATAATATATCAGTTCTGTTCTCTCAGTTCAGTAATCATTGAATTTCATGAGGTTCCTGTTGGCTCATTTCTCCAGCTTGTCAAAGTCCATCTGAACAGGAATCTCCATCTGGTGTATCAAACACTTCTCACAGTTTCCCAACATCTGCAAACTTGCTGAGGGTGCATTCTTCCCCATCATCCAGACCATAAATGAAGATGTCAAACAATACTGGACCCCTACTTCTACAAGGATTATGCCGCTATTGCAAAGAATCCCCATCACATATATAAATCATCCTGCAAAGAAGAATAACTTAGTTTCTTGCACCAAAGAAGACTGCAGAACACTGACACTCCAGAAAACACATAATCATTTGTGTGCATCATTTGTGAGCTCTGAAACACTGGACCAGTATGATCTTTGGAGACTAGTAATCGTTAAAACTGTGTGCCACTGTGCACAGAATTCTGTTCCCATCAGGACCAGCATCAAATGTTTAAAAGAAAAAAAACTGCTTTAAATGGTTGTATTTCCAATTTCTGATATTTTAAATTTTTTTTTTGGTAAAACTTTCCCCGAACTACTCCATGCAGCATTTTTTATGGATTGATTTTCTAAACATTCTTCAGAACAATTTATCATAACTTGCAATTAGTAGACTATAATATTAAAAGCTCCATGGAGAGTATTCAAATTCTATCCCTCAATTGGTAAAAACATTGTCTTAATGGGAAAATGAAAAAAGAGAAAGTTCCTATGACCTTGAGTCATATTAAAGGACATTCTACTCCTAATTTGTAGGCAGCCTAAATTCTGAAGGCCATTCTGATGGAAGATGAAATTCTTTTTTTCATTAATTTTACAAGTGGTGAGCCATGAAGCTTCTCACAGAGGTAAAACACTGGTATCTTCTTTGCCAAGTTTGCCCACTGTCACTCAATTCAACAACTTTTCCCATTTACAGGTATTTGAGCTTCACAATGTCTCTTCTGTAGCTGCCGTCTGGCACCCCTTAAGTTCAAAAAAAGCCCTGTTACCTACCAGTGAGACATTCTGTTGCTCCTAGAGCAAGTGAAGCTAACTGAACAAGAAGCAGACATATACCCCCTAAACAGGATATATGGAATTTATCAGAAAGTAAATCCCTGTTTTAGGATAATTAAGCCTCTCTCATATCTTCCTTAAATAGCTCTCTGGCCATTTCAAATAGATGAAGTCATTAGCACAGCCATGCATTATTAAACAGTTGTCATTATTCATCTTAGAACAAGATCGATTTCATCAGTGTCTGAAATTATTCCCATGCTTGATTCGCAATGACTGAAATACTCTGCCATACAAATGCATATATTATTAGTTTAAATTTAAATTATAAATTGTTCCAAATTGAAATTTGTGAACGAGTCTATGAAATATTCCCTATAGATAAAAACTGGCATTATATATATTGAGCATGGTAAAGTTGTCCTTTACAATATTATAGCTCACTAATGGAAAATTCTAAGCTGAACAAATTGATCATAAACTAGCAATATAAACCTTATAAAATGGCCCAACTGCTTGTAAGAAAATAAGTTTCTGTAAAGGGCTCTTTTGCCCCAAATCTATTGCTACAAAGCAGTAAATTGCAAACTCAGTTTTCACAACAAAATTATTTTCTAAATAAGTTCTACAGTTTTTAGTCCAAAGTATCTTATGCCTGATGACTTCCAGGGAAACCAACAACCTTGAATGTGAACTTCTACAAAAGCTGTTTCCTTGTTTGATGTGACAAGTGATGCCTGACTTGTGAGGAGAGGTGTCCAATATTGCAGGCTATTGGAAAAGATATTTTTTGTTGACAATAGAAAGCAGCATATCCTTAGACTTACTGCTAAACTTGGTTACAAAACATTCAAAGAATACTATGTTTACTTTTAGAAAAAGCACAATCAAATATTTGAAAATGCAACAGCTATGCAAAAAGAGAAAATAATTTCTACAGCCATTATATCATACCAAACATAAAAATAAGAGTTAAGCACATTAATAAATCAATGACCTTTAAAAATATTCAAAACCTAATAATGCATTGCAATGTTCAGCTAAAAAAAGTATTGTAACTTCTTAAAAAATACATTTAAGACTGCAACTTAGGATTTTAAGTTATGAATTTTAGGGTGGTACCTGTGTATATTTTTTATAATTACTTTTAACAATTTAAAATCAGAATATCAAAACCTCTTGGCTTTATATTTATAGCTGTATATACTTATTGAGCATAAAAGAAACTTGTAAATGTAATTTCTCTTTTAATAACTATATAAATAGAAATATTACATTAAAAAACTCTTCATAAATAAACTTGAGCGGGAACAGATGTACTGTGTTGTATTACATATACATCACGTCCTTATAGTATCAAAACTATGTTTGTATCAAAAGTAGCTGGAAAACAACCTAAATAGATTAAAATATAAACCCAAAAGATTAGTTATGATTAAGTAATCCTATTTCATTTTCCAGACCAATTCTACAGCAATGACCTTTATCAACCCTTGTAGTATTTACAGAATTTTGTTTAGAAATGAAATTTGTTTGTCTTAACAAAAGATGGATTAATGCTTGTCTATCATGGTTCTGGAATTGAGTACAAAGCCATCGTATCTACTCTCCTAGATAAAAAGAAAATTGGATACTGAGTTCATGAACAGGTCCTGCAGTAAATAATTAGGTCACCACTCACTAAAACATTCAGTTTTCATGAAAACAAAGACAAGAGCTTTCCATTCCAAGTCACTGAAAGTTTGTTTCTGACACTGGCAAATTTTCAACCAGTTATATTTTCTTAGCAACATCAAAAAATTCTTCAGATTCATGTAATTCAAAAAGAAGCTATGATTTGCAATGTTATTCTTAGCTGAGTACTTCAGAATGTGTGTTTCTATTGAGAATAAAGAGCTATCTCGAAGTTTTCAAATGCGCAGTTATAAAAGAATTAACTCAAAGGGTCTGAAAACACACTATTTGGTTAGTTATTATTTAAGGTCTCTCACGTATCTACCTAGTACAATGTATGATCATATGGTATTTATGCATGAATAATTCATCTTGAAAATGTAAATGGAGTGCTATGAAGGTTAAATGTCTGATGGTAAATTTGGTATTTCTCCAACATCTATCTCTAAAAATAACATTTTAAGTTTTTCTCAGGAGAAAAAAACCACTTTACCTTAAATTATGTCCACAAGTCAAAAGGCAGAGGTAAATATATTTCCTGACTAATTTTCTACTGAATTCCTCAATTCTGGCTAGGTAAGGCTTCAGTTTTCTCATCTCTAGTTAACCAATTTGGGTAAAAAGATGGCAAAAGTACTCGGTCATCTTCTGGCCAAATGGCCAATGACACAATATGAAATAAGAAAATGAAGCACTTACATCATATGATTCAATGATTTAAAAAGGTGAAGATATATTTTTTTAAAAGGTTCAAAGCAATGTTTTAATTCAGTCAAATAAATAAATAAACAAATAAATAAATTGAGGGAAAAATAAATTTATGGGCAAAATTGAACCTAGTCTCTGTGAAAGAGATAAGCACAGTTCTAAAAATATTAAAAATAGCAATCTTCCAGATAAGCAGATACTATAAGATCAAACCTGATCTGGAGATCCGAAGTTCATCTCTAGTTCCTTCTCATGTATCTCTCCTAGTAACTTCAGATCTTTGTCTAAATAGCAGCTCAATAAAATGAGTGAAAACAGCATCAGCATTTGATCCAATAACATCTACAGGGACAAACTAATCCTTGAAACAATTTCATTCAACTTATTGGCATTATAGGAGGGATATAGGTGATCCCAGGATGAGTCTACAAGGTAGACCATAAAACAAGAGGGCAACATTTCCAATCAATACTGCTCTATGAGGAGCATAGGTAGATATTTTCACCACGTATTTGTTCACAGAAGTGCAGGGCATAAAATGGGCAATGAAATTCTAGGACAGCACTTGGAATACTGATTATCCATACTGCTTTATGTACAAAGACAGGAAACTATTTTGTAGTACTTATCTCTAGCTATCTTTGTAGTTATTTGAAGCTTTTTCTCAAGGAAAAAGGCAGCTTTCATGTTTGAGCATCCCGGTATGAAAAAGTAACTTGTGACAATTACTTTGTAACTTGTTTAATGCTCCATACAAAGCTAAATGTGGGATAGATAATTCAGCGTATTTAATTAATAGATGCAAAGAATCATATAGTAGGCTGGAATGACTCTGTTGAGATGTTTTTCTCCAAAACCCCTGCTCAAATATGCTCCTCCTAATGCAGCCAAGGATGCTATTAGTTTTCTTTTGCCATGAAGGAACATTACTGGATCCTTAAGGTGGCCAAAGATGCAAACCCTCTATTCCAAGAAAATTAATCACCAAGACATTCTGAAAAACCTGAAGTATACCACAAGAACTTCAGAGAACTGCATATATACCATACAGGACAAGCTTCATAATGGAAAGTGCCAGACATCTTGAAAACAAAAAGGCAGCAGTTTATTTTCCACCCAAAAAGTAAATTTTAAAGCATTTATAAGAAAGAGGAAACCATGAAATTTAGTTACTCAATAATTCTTTTCTGTATAAGATGAAGAGCTATTTCCATATAAATTTCATCATCGATGTTTTATAGCTCTGGAAACATGAGGAAAGCTGAGAAACTGTCATCTGCAATGTCAGACTGAGTGGCTAATCTCTATTATTACAGTGAGCAATGGAGATGGATTAAGCTGGGCTCACAGATAAGTCCCCACCCACTCACCACTATACCTATTATACATTTTTTCCCATTTGCAGTGAAATATCTAAGAATTTCCCTTTATTTTTTCCAATGCTGAACACAATACATGTTCCAGAACATAACAGAAATATATCAGGACATAAAAAGTTCAATCTGAATTATGTGAGTTGGCTAATGTTGAGCAGAAATTAATCTGTCCAAAAATAATGCATGGGACATGAGTTTCTCATCCATGAGATAAGTCCTCTTTCTAAGCTAGATAATGAGGTACAACACAGGAATATTTTGGTTAAATTAAGCACTGAAAAACCATAACTAACTAACAGATTTTCACACAGACAAATATCTTCTAATTGAAGTAAGCAAGCCTGAATAACTGAACATTAGCATCACTGCAGGTAGCATGGACACAAACATAATTGATATTTCAGCTATACAAACTAAATTTAATTTCTTGTGTAGTAAAGTTAGAAACATTTCTTACCCATTCATAAGAAACAATCCAACACCCACGAGCAATTCCCAGCATAACATTCAAGGTACGACGAGGACTCCCAGTAACTACATGACTTGTTGTTTCACACACCTCATTTGAGAACAAAAAGTCTCCAAGTTTCTTCACAACCTGAATTACTGTATTTTGCTTCCTAAAAAAGAAGAAAAGATAAAAAAGCCAATGCAACATTGAATAGAGGAAGGCAGAATTATAAAAGCATATAAATACACCACAAATTAATTCAAATTCGCCTCATTTCTTTCCCCACTAAACATTTTTTATCCTTTTCTCACTAAGCCTCTACCTATTTACTAGGCCTAAATTCATTAGCCTCTCCAGAGTCCTAACAGACCCTTTTCCATTATCACACAATCACATCTACTTGCACATCAAAGCCCTTTTGCCCCCCTCATCTATCTTGGGTCTGTTTAAATAAAAGCTTTTGAGTGAGGAATTATCCATTATGTTGTTTGTGTACAATGCCCAACACAACAGAGCCTAATTCTTTGTTTCTTTTATAGTACTATAAAAAATATTACCAAGGAATGTAAACATGCAGACACAGCACATTTAACAGGTTTTCATTAAGAAGACCCAGATATTCAGCAACTGAATAATGCTCTGTCTAAATTCAGAAAAGTCCTAAGGTTCTATCTGGCTTGCAACCTACACATCTATGCCAATGTTTCAATTAAAAATTCACTTATCCTTAAATACAATTATAATGAAATACATAAAATTAGATCTACATTCCAGAATGGCCATCTATAACTGGAATTCTAATTTGAGCTATCTACATAGCTATGCAGGAGCACATAAATAAATAATTATGAAAACAGGAAGACCTTGGTATCACAAGAAAAAAGCTGTTGCATGACAACAATTTACTGCTTTTATTAATTATTATTTTTACAATTATAAATGATCCTTAAAGATCTGTAAAACAAAGCAAAATTCTGGTGGCCTCTCTACTCCCCAAACTAACTTGGAAATGTCCACGCAACACAAGAGAAAGCAACTAGTCACAACCTTGAACACAGCCACACTATCACAGTGGTGATCCTTTAAGGCAAAACTTCTGAGGTAATCACAAACACAATGCAAGTGCACTCAGAGCACCTCCAGAAGCCTTTGGGGTTGCTTCATTCTCACTATATTTAATTCTACAGAAAGGAAGTCTGGTAGAACTCCCAAAACACCCCAGCTAAATCAAACACTACTTAACAGAATCCCAACAAAACTGAAAAAAAATTCTTCACAAAAATTGGAGCAATCATTTTCCAAGAAGTTTAAAACAAAAAAAATGAATAGTGAAAAGAGTGCAGCAAATTAATGACACAATTAAATCAAAAGGTGATATTGTATATTGACATACTATAAAAAATCCTATGGCTAACCCTCTCCCTGGTATGAATTGTGGCCTTGGTTTTATAGCTTTGATTGTTATTAGTATTCCCTTTTCATTCTGTGCTTGATACAGTCTACAAGTGAATGTTTTTGCAACATTGCAACTCATAGGGGCTGGCCCTGCCCAGACTGCATGCTCCATGCTTTACCTGAACCTTTTCTAAATTCTTCCTGTGTCTACACCAAATTCCTCACAAGGAGAAGAAAATTTTTTGTTGTACAAGTCTTGAATCGAAGATGTCTTACAACCTGCAGAGAAAACTCACCAGTTTATACTTGAGACAGCTGCAAAAACTGGTGGATGAAAATTTACAGCAAAATTTCAGTGAATTTTTAAATCAGAAAATTAGATAGCTGTATGGTTGTGAATCAGTGAGCAGCATTTATTATAATCTCAAAACCCAATGCCGTGAAACTACTGAACTCATGCATCTTAAAATGCAAATTCTAATGAATCACTTTTGAGGCTGTAGCTACTGTTATCTACACTGTAGTGATGATCCACAGTGATTCTGCATTGCATGACTTGTGAGGTTCATTTTATAGTCCTGGTGTTACTAGCATCCAGTCACATTAAATAAAAGAAAAATATTAATTCTCTTTTATGTTTCTGACATATTTAAGTACACTTGTTAATAGCTATTGATAACCTTTTACAAAAAACTTCTGAAAGCATAGCCACTAAGCGCTGTTTCTGAGTATTTATTTCTATGTAACTGTCAACATTTAGCTACAGCAAACCTGAAACAGATTTTTGGGTAGTATAAATATCTTGAGTTTTGAAAAAGAATTCAAAAACTGTAAGCAAGTGTAGTATAAAATATGGAATCATGTTTTTGTTGGATGTTCCTTATGCTTTAAGACTTTTAAGAGAATGATAAGAGCATGCCAGACAATCATTAACTCTCTCCCAAAATATGCAGTGGCAGCTGCTTCTAATGTTCTGAAACGAAGTCAGTAGAAAGCCTAAAACTGATATTTATTCTGCAACTATTCGTATGAAATAAAACATTTTAAACTGATGTTTCAGATTATAACTTTTTAATTAGAAATAATTAAAATGTATGCTGAAAAGGCTGTGTTGGGCTGAACCATTTACTACATACAACTACTATGTACGTTTCCTTCAGATATGTTCAAAACTTGCTTAAGATTTTAGTGTTATTGCTCTGAACCTTTGTTGATCTCACCTATGGAACTACTTCAGTCTCCACCAGAGAAACAAAAATTTATATATACATTGGAAATAACAACAAAATATATATGTACAAACAAGTTTCTAGCAAGAATTCAAAACGAAATAAAGTGCAGAGCCCAAAGATAAATTTAATTTTCTATAAGCATAAAAAATTATCAATATTCAAATTTAAATGGTAGGCTGAATAAAGAATCAAAATGCTTAATACTTACTCAGAAGACATACTTGTCATAACTAGTGTCCTTGTTGGCTAGAGACATGAAAAAAACAAGAAAACATAAAAAATCTGAAAAAAAAATCTCTGAAAATAACGCATTAAATTAGAAAATGTTATGTTCAAAAGGTGCAAACTACTTCATAACTATACTATCACCTGGGGAAATGTCTGTACTTAACACATATACTAGAAATACTAAACTTTGAGGATATGGAAGGAAGGAAGGAAGGAAGGAAGGAAGGAAAGAAAACCCTTCAATCATGTTTTATGTCAAAGCATACAGTATAGCAAAAGACAGGAATGTAAGCTTTTTTAGTAAAAGCAAAATGCAGCCTAGGATGCCACAGAAATAAGGACAGTATTGGTCTCCTTAGTTTTCATCAGATGGAAAGGAAAAGGAAGCTTACCCACAACAAAGAAAACCTGCAATTTATAATTCCAGTTTCTTCCAAAAGAAAGGTAGAAACTGCTTCAGAAACAAGAAATATAATTTTAATGGTTTTGTTTTTATTTTGATACTGTATTTTTGGGGGGTTTTGGCACAACTTCAGTATTTTATGTCAAGGTTAAATAAACATTCTTTCAACTCTTCGGTATTTTCTAGTGAATAAAAGTTGTCCAAGTAATATCACAAGCAGGACATACTCAAAGAATACAGCAATCTTCAAATCAGCAATTCTGAGACACCTTAAACAGCAGTCCTCCCTTCTCCTGCAATACTCCCCATAGCTTTTGTAAGAAGCAGGAATGCTTGCTCCATACGGACTTAAAATAAGCTTGGGAAGAATTATTATTAAAGAGGTCAGAAGAGGAGGAAGTTCATCACCACTGACCATGAAAGCCTCCAGTATGCACAAAGGCAGGACAGAACATCAATTTTAGCAGCATCAGAGAAATACATAACTACATATAACATGGTCATTAAAAAACATATGTAAGAAGAAGTTTTGATCATCTTAGCTAAGAATTACTCACAGCTACATAACCATGCACAAATATATATATATTTTATATATATATATATATGTATACAATCCTTTTGATTTTGTAGGAAAAGGAGACTGAATTTTATACAATGATTTCAAAAAACGTCTTCTAATTTTCAAAATCAGTATATGAATTTAAATTACTTCTCCATATAGCTACTGCTCCATATGAAATACTAACTCCCACTTCTGTCCCCCAGTATATTACCATGACCACAAGTGGCAAGCTCCCAAAGTATCCACTAAAATACAGTTTCTTTTGGACAATGCACTGAGGTAAGAGTATAAAAATATTTCTAATTGGGAGCAAAGGCAAAAAAAAAAAAAATTCAAGGCAACTCATTTTACCTAGTAATGAATCAAAGAACAGAAGAGAGAAATCTGCTGCAATTCCATCTGACCTCTGTTATCAGTATAGAAGAGTTCTCTATTGAACAACCAAGTAACCTCTCACATTTACGAAAAGAGCTGGAAATACCCGCGTAGACAATTAGACTAACTAATAATGTGCACCATGACTATTCATTATATGAACACTTTTGCATAAATAGAACACGTACCCTTGAGAATGTAGGTTAAAGATAACACAAGTAGTAGTCATTTCAACATACACGTGGCAATTTCATTGTGGTTGTGTACATTTAAAAACCACAAAATCCAGACCCTATTTAAGTCTTCAGAAGAAACAATGCAGCATATTCAATAATTTTTAAGATTAATAATAAACATGCACTCAGACCACACTATGTGAGTGCTACAATACTTCAAACTGACCATGTATACAATGTGAAAATATAAATCCAAATAACAATAGAACAAAAGAAAAATTCAAAAGAAAAAAGGAAGAAACTTTTGCATTGAAATATGGGAAAGAAATTCTATGCAGTATTTTTGGAAATACAAGTGTCCAAATTCTAACTTGTTGCCAGCAATACTTACTGATGATGTCTCACTCTACTGCTAGTCAGATAGCTAAAAAGAATATGCCCTTATCTTGATCAAATTTGGTTCTATTCTTAGCCAAAAGAATTTCTACTGCATTACTTCCAACTCCAAACAAGCAGTCAGATTTAATTGCTCTTGAAAGTTTCAACTCAATTCTACACTGGACTTTTATATGCAAAGAATCTGAGCAAAAGTAATGATAATGCAACAATATATGTCAAATATATCTATCATAACATGAATATGTTAGTATTAAGTTATATGCACTCAAAATTTGACAATAAACACTCAAAAAAGACATCTAGTAACACATTGAGGGCTCTTGTGGCAAAAGGGACCCACATTACTGAACAGGTTAGGTCAGATGATTAAAATCAGATGCGAGGCCACATTATTATGAGTATATGCTTCCTACTGTCTTAAAATACATTGTAGGATCTCCATACACTCATGAGCATTAAAGGACTCTGGGATATAACAGTCTGGGAAGGCAAAAAATGGAGCTTAAAAACAAGGTTTTGCTTGGCTCTGCCCAGTCTTTTTGCATGGAAAAACTCATCTACATCAAATGTGTATGTTTCAGCATGGTCATGACATTCTCCTCTATTACCTGAAGCCAGCCTCATTACTATCACAATCAAGCTTCTTGCCTAAAAGTCTGGAGTTAAAATCCACACACAGCAGTTGCACTAGGTTCTTGAGAGTGTTTGTCTAGTATTAACTCTAAAGTAGATCTTGATGTGTCAGTTCAGAATGCACAGAAAAATATCCTTCCTCGCAATTTTTTTATAAATGCTATGAAAGTATTACTAATCATACCATGATTTTTGCCAAACTTGGCTTAAAAAGAAGAAATAAACTAAGGCCAGTGCAGCTTGAGATCCTACAGCTGCTTCTTCAACTTCAGAGCAGAAATGTTTGTTAGAAGTTCCTTAATACCATGTCCATAGGTAAGTAAAAATAGTAGATCCACACAAATCAGGAAATCTACAGCCTGTCCTGACCTTACTCTGCAAGGTCAGCTTTTGAATTGTAGCTTTTATGTTACAACACATTGTGTAAAAGATGATGCAGTGAGAATTCTGAACAAATATCTTGCCAGTGCACTTCGAAGTAGTTCAAAGACTCAAGAATGCAGAAGGGTGCACACAAAACGTAGAAATTGGAAATAAATTTAATTTATTCCAAGCTACTATTTCATTTGCATTCAGCACTGCATATTTTTGCAAGTTAAAGGTCATTTGCTAAGCAGACAATATTTTGTTTTATTGCTTCAATAAGACAAGCAGTACTCTTTAATTACAGTTACCAAGTAGAAAACTTAGCCAAACTATGTTCTAATTTTCAGTTCTACATTTTTCAAGTTAATTGCTTTCTCCTCCACCCCCTACTATGCAATTTTTCTTCTGTGCTTTTTGTGTCTGTTTTATTTTACATGTTGCTTTTATTGAAAAAAAAGAGTTAGCATTTACTTTTCTGACCAGCAAAAAGACATCTGGTGAGCATCATTATGAGTTCTAATGCATGTTTGTAGCAGGATTATTATTAATAAAACACTGGAAAAGGTGGTATTAAGTTAACTGGTCCTTTTATTTATCATTAATCTCTGAATCCTGAAGAGTTGCATATCCATACACTGAATCAGAGCACACGCTTCTTTCTGAATAATTTTTGAGGTCTGGAATTCAGACTTCATTATAAATGACAGCTTCAGCTTTCCTTTACATATTTCTTTAGAAGCACTGTTGCATTAAGTACTTCTTTAGAGTCTGCCAACAACAAGATTTTTCTAAGTCATCTGAAATATAGAACATTCAGTAGCTAGAAGGGAACAGTACTGGTAAATTTCCCCAGTACTTAAAAGTGATAATTCCTATTTGTTAACTGACCTACACCACAAAAGAGGCATCCATGTATTCCTTCTGTCTTCTAAATTTGAGCTGGTGTTTCTTGGAGCTGAAGGACAAGATGAAAAAGTCCTGTTTTGTACAACCTCTTTTCAAGAAGGTGAACTCAAACTTTGCTTTGTAAAGCATGTCATGAGTTCTTCTTCATAAGTGACAAATGAATAAAAATGAGACCATAAAATGTTTTCCCAGACTAGGTTTCAAGAATAAAGTGTATTCATGCAAAGAATTGATTTGACAGGAATTGGTTTAGATTTGTCACTGGTTAAATTCCAGCCTATGTACATTAGATCTTATTCTATCTTTGTATCAAGAACCCAGGTCTCAAATATTTTTCAAGAAATTATTTCACCTAAAGGACTTTTAAATTTTCTATTATTTAGTCCAAGTTCTTCTCTTGTGCCTTAGGGTTGACTGAAGTTCTGAAAGAAATAAGCCTCGGAGTAGTCTCAAACTCAGATACATGTTTTAGTGGAGTGAAAAAAGAGATCTTCAACTTCAGGACTCAACAAGATACCCTAAGTGGTTTGGCCAATATACAAGGGATAAAGAACTTTTGGAGACAGGCAGGAAGAAAACAGTACATCTGTGAGCAAAGACAGTTTAAGGAAGAGTATATTATACTATTTTTTAATCTTCAAATCTCTTTTTTTCTCTGCCTATTGCAGGTCTATCAGATGGTTTTGAAATTGCTTTACTACCTTTATACTCAATTTTGTTCTCTACAACTGCATTTCAGAAGTAATAATCTTCAGTCTTATTAGCATATGAACCAAAAGACAGAGGTATAGATAGCATAGGAATATTAAAAAATCAGGTTAATTTCACTCTGCTTGTATTTAAGAAGATTGCAATGAGGAGACCCAAAACTTAAAGGCTGTTTATAGAAACAATTTATAAGTAATACTACTTTAATTTATTCAAGTAATTGTGGCTCATAGCTGAGAATAACTGGTAAGTGTAATGAATGATAACTATTCAGTATTTTTAAACAGCAATTATTCAAAGCTGTAATTTAGTTTCTGGCTGGCCTTTCTCTTATCAGTCCTTTGATACTGATATTTTGACTCACCATTGTGTGTCATTGGGCAGAAGAACTTAGGCATAAAGATACATTTCCCTTCTGCAGATTGTAAGCATGGAACCATTTTAAGAGGGAAAGAACCATTTCACATCACCCCAACTGTTGCATGGT